CACACAAGCAGACAAGCTTTCAGAAGCAACGAAGCATCATCATCTTACCACACATATCTTTTTCTAAGTATGTTTCCTATTTATCTACAGGTCAGTGCCCTCCATACAACATATATCAATTCTTTCTCTACCAACTTTCCTGAAGTTTCGTGGTCTGTGCAAACCCCATTGGCTTCTTACTTGATTATTTTTCCTCTCACTACTTCTCCCCCATCTGGGCTCCCTGCTCTAGGTGTAGAGTGAGAGGCGACACTTTGCAAAAAGACTTAAATCTCTTTCTAGCTTATTTTGTGAATCTTACCAGGAAGTTATGATTAATCTTGAAAAATCAATAGTTTTCCTTATACTAAAATAATAGCCATCACAGAAGTATTTCAAACAGAAAAAATACAAAATGAAATCATATAGAATTATTGTTTGACAAAGTTGTATTATTTCATGTATGCATGGTGTCTGATTGGCTGTTTTTCTATTTGTTTGCACATGATTGCACACACTCACATCCAGAATTTGATCTGGAGACTGGAGAAAGGGAACTATAAAAATGTTTAGTTAAGGCATATGCCATAATGACTATCACTCTGGACAAGAGAAAAATAAATGGATTTGAAGCATCTCTTGTATAATATCAATCACAAGCAACTTAAAATATCAATGTTTTCCTAGTCTACTAAAGCTTACAAAACTTAAAGATTCTTCACAATATTTGATACTATGTGCTTTTTATGAAAATAAAACCAAGTCATAATTAGTGTTACTAGGAAGGGTGGAGAAAATAGGCAGGCGAGGATTATAGTGGAGGCAGCTGACAGAAAGGGTTAGGAACCTGCGGTCAGTCTATTAGAAATCATAGCACTAGTTCCTCTCCTCCAATTTGTGCTTTTACAGCCTCTGCATACATAAAACCTGTAAGGTGTGAACGTCAGAGCTAGTTCTCTTGTTTAGGAGCAGGCAAATGCTTTAGCCTTACATGCATAGTTTATCTGAGAAAGAGTGGCCGCAGTCAATGCTGAAGATAATCTTATTGATGATAGTTCCCTTCCCCAGAAGGAACTTAGGAGTCAATAAAAGATCTCCTCCCCAAGAGAAGCCACGCTAAATGTTATATATCTATTATCTTACTTTTCCAAGGGCAATCTTCAAAAATCTAAACGAAAGCACACGAGAAATTAAAATATGCTAGGGGAAAATGCTGGTATCTATAGTCAGTAGATACTCTTAACAAACACAGAAAAGTATCAATATGAGAATGAGTCATATTTTTATTTGAACTCAGCTCTGATTCAATACAAGTTTGTATTTTTAAAGTCACAATGACATAACTTAAAAAAGTTTCCGTAAATATTTATTGTATGCAGCCTAGCAGATGAAAAGAACGTAACTATTATTCTTGTTTGTTTTGAGGTTATTTACTTAGGACTAAGCACCTCATTTTTCTTGTGTACAAAAAGTAATTATGCAGTCCAAAGAAATATAGCTCATATACTTCAAAACGTATGAAAAATGTAAAACTTTATTACACACATTAATTTCTAACCAAGGACATCTCTAGCATCAGTGTAGCTGGGACAAGCCAGATAACGGATGTGCATCTATGTACATTTCTCCCAAATGGGTTATGTAAAGGCAAATAAACAATTTCTTCTTTTATATCTGCCTTTGTTTTATAAATTTCACTTCCCAATGTAGGCAGCACTTTTGTTGATTTTTTTTGGTGTGTGTGGTCATATATTCTCTTTGAGTTAGCCTCGTTAGTACCCATTTCTCACTTATTGATCCTAGCTACTGATGCTGGATTCACTTCTACGTTCATCAAGGCTAAGCTATGAAACCTACAAATTGTGAACAAAACACATTCACATTTTCCCCCACTTGGATCTTGCCCATTCTGACCTTCTGGAAATGCCAACGTATTCTTGGAAAGTCACATTTAGTGTGAGCCAGGCCTGCTCTGCATGCCTGCATTCTTTGCTCCCTGGATAACAAGGGCTGGCTCCTTGCCACTTTGGGCAGGAAGATTTGTGGTTCGACTTCAGCTGTCTACTGGGCCATGGCTGAGTCAGTGGGGCTGTGCAGTGCACTATGTGAATTACTTACAGGCCAAAATGGCAGGGGGTGGGTAGCATTCCCTTTGTACACAGTAACTAATAACTGAAAAGCATTTTGTTAATGAAAGAAAAATAAGTAATACTAAACAGCAAATTTTATTCAGCTAGGCTAACAGAATTAACATTCTCAATGATCTAGTCAGAAACACTGGAGTCTTCCTTCTGACTGAATGCCAGCAAGTTGCTAATGCTCAAAACTATTTTAAGTTACGAATATGTTGAAAAAATATGTGAGAGAAAAGTTTAGCTAGCACATTTGGGGGTTGGTGCAGATTAAGAAGTGGCAAAGACTTAGGATAAATATCACAAGGAAAAGGTACAAGTTGCTCTCCAGAATGCTCATGGGTCCATTTTGATCTAATATCAAATATTCCTTATATATTTGAGGCAAATAAGACCTGGAGATGTTAGATAACTTTGTCCAACATCTTATAGCTAGTGAGTGACATGGAGTTGTCTGGAATGAGGGTAGCTTGGTTCTGGGGGGTCATAACCTGAACTCATGCCAGACTGTTGCATTGATGAAGTCATGAGATAAACAAATGAGCATGTGGGTATATATGTTCCTTTGTCTGTGCATGTATGGATGTGTATGTTATCGTGTACAGTTCTTCCTCAGGAGCATATATTTCTGAAGTCTGGCCCCTATCTCTTTCCTGTACCTATTGTATACTATTTACTAAAAGTAAATATAGCACAGTCGTATACCTATTAGGAGATGTTTGATGAATTGTGTAAATTAATCCAAAGTGATTGATATCTCACAGCAACAAAGATATTATTTAGAATAACATTACAGTTATGATTTCTAAAATTCATGATAATTCAGAATAAAAATCTAAGGCATACTACCACTGACCTAGAATACACTAATTTCTAAATTACATAATTCCCTTCCACAGTTCTTAAGGAAATGCAAGACAGATAAATCTATATCAAGCTGTAGACTGGTACATGTTCCACCTTCCTCTGGTGGGAAGTGCTTCATACGTGGGTCCGTTTTCATGGTATAGGGTCCTGATTGCAATACACGGAAGATTTTTTTTAGATGTGGGAAAACTATTTTGTTTACTCCAGCAGTATTCAGGGTTGAGATAAATAGATTTGGTGGGAAGACAGGATAAATTTCAGAGATTATTTTTGAGATTGGTTTAATTTATAAAGCAAGCCACGCCTTGGGTTTTGAGGAATGATACATATAAATTAAGATGGATCTTGAAAGCACAGAATTACGGGTGTCAGGATGGCTGAGCAGTAAGCCAGGGCCCTTCTCTTAGAAATGGGAGTCATCTTAGAAATTTTTTCTCTGTAAGATGTAGCTTGTTGCCAAACATTGCATAGGGAGGCAATTGCTTTTCTAAGGAATTATAATTCAGCTTAAAAAAATAACTTTAAAACAGGGTAGGATGACAACATAGGCAAGCGATGGGAGGCAGAGGGATGCAATAGTTGTTCAGTTCAACTACAGGGTCCTCAAGCTTCAGCTGAAATGATGGCATCAGCAACACTCAGTTCTATTTGTCTGACACCACCTTTCAGAAAAAAATCTACTCTCCAAAGTCCCAGAGAGAAAGGTCCCATCTCTGTAGACACTGGCTTCACAAGATGGCCTCTCCAATGTCCCAGAGAGGAAGGCCCCTGTCTCTGTAGACATCTCCTTCACAGGGAGCCCCTTTCCACGCTATACAGCCTCTCTAGTCACAGACCTACAGATTAGAACACGTGTGGAATCACGGAGTTGACCACTGATTTAGGATCAAACTCTGCTCTGTCTCCTGTGATCTCCTTGGAGACAATGTAGCTTCAAATCCCGCCTTGAATTTTCCAGGTACTCCACTACACTGACAGCTGGCATCCTGGGGAACGAAGAAGGTGACAGTTTGGTCACATAACATGACTGTATCTCAAAAAGAAAGCAAACCCTCATTTACACTAAGCTTATTTAGTACCTTTTGTCATGACCTCTCCCCCTATTATCTCTTTATCCGTGATGCTGCAACCTCCTTAACTTTTTAGGTGTTAGAATCCCTCATGAACAGAATACTCATAAGTCTCTCCATCTTGGTCTGAGCCTAACAAATACAAATAAATTTCAAGATGGCCCCTCTTTTGCTGAGGATGAGAGTCTGAGCAAAGCTTATGGCTCTGTTTGCATCAACCTGGTCAGAGCAGCAAGGCAGGTAGATGTCTAACTCACATCCTGAGAAATATCTAAAGAGCCACTCTGTGGGCGAGGGAGCTATTCTGTGGACCTCACAATTCCTTTTGATGGCTGCTAAGGTCATGTTCATACTACTGAGCTTGGAGTTAGAGACAATGCCAGAACAGGGACCGTGTGTCCTGAACTTGGTTAACTCAGATTTCACTCCTTTATGCTGTTTTCCATAGGAATTTTGTACATTAAAAGCTTCCCTTCACTGACAGTGTGTCAGACCAACTTCTTGACATGTGTTAAGAACTGTCATTGTATCTGAGAAGCCCGCCTTTACGAACCGTAAGAGCTTGTTTTCGGGATCACAGCATTGTGTGGAAGTTAACAGCTCCCTAAGTTGTGCAGAAAGCTCTGGAAATCGTGAGCAACCCAGGAGGTGGTGGTATTGTTCCAGAACGAGACACAGACAGTAGTGATGACATATCAAAGCCCAAAGGCTGGCGGCGGCATGCCAGACGAAACCATGTATGTTTGCAACCACAGAACCGAAGGGTGCAAGAGCACAGAGGAGCAGGCACAAGGAGACAGATTTGAAAAGGAAAAGGAGCTTGCAGTCATTTTACGGTTCAAGGGAACTCTGAGAAACGCAGCTCCCTGCTCCCTTGTGGGACTTCCTGCCCAGAAACAGGGCAGGGGAAGATGGATGTGCAGGATTGCTGGCTCCCAGCCTGGAAATTCATTCCTTGGATCACACTCCCTTTTCTCCCCTTTGGCTTATCTTCAAACACCAGGGAGAATGGACGGGTTGAGGTCTTTCCTAAACACAGCGTCTCAAAAGTTGATGCTTTTCATTCTTGTTTTTCTTTGGGCTTTGACATTAAGGAGCACTGTTTAGCAGTGTTTCTCAACTCCAGACAATCCATACTTTTTATAAATTTTGACTTAGATTTTTAAAAAAATTTTGAGTACGTATTGATTTGTTATGAAGCCTGAGAGAAATATTACTTGGAAGAGTAGGGAGAGGAGGATTTTGTTTTCCTTTGGTTTAAGGAAGCTTTTAGGCTTAGGGGAATGAAGTGTGTCATCTGCAAAGTGGAGGTAAGTAACGCCCCTCTCCCTTGACCTAAAGGAGTGGGGGGGGGGGGGAGGGAAAAGGGTCTTCTTCTTTTTAAAAAGCACATTTGATTTTTCTTTCTTGAAAATCAGGTCTTCCCCAAGCAAACTACTCTCACTAAACTCATTTTCCAATTTAAGAGAAAAAAAAAAAGGAGGAGAAATCACAGAGGGATTTCAGACTTAATTTTTAATTTCCTGGTTTTTGTCAGTTTACGTCACAACATTAATTTTATTTCCATGCAGGAGAGAAGGTTGTAAGTAATTAATGTTATTCTTTTCTGCACCTCCCGGAGGGAGACCAGCCCATCAACACCTGCTTCTTTAAGCACAGAGTAAAAGAAAAGAGATCTAGGGATACAGAATGAACTGTCCCCATGTGGCATGTCACTGCACACTCAGGAGAGGCCGGGCCCTTGGGATAAGTGTTCTAGGTCATCCACCATCAGTACACCCACCCACTTCTTAATTAGATAGTGCACCCCAACCCGGGCTGGGAAGCTGAATGAACGAGCTTCTCCCAGGTCCTATTAACATCCAGCGAGACTTCTACCTACTGGTAATTCTTGCTTTCCAGTCCTCATTTGCCCATTTTTTATAAGCCAAACGCTGTATACTTGTAAGTTGCATTTGATGTACTTCATCCCATCCTCAGAAAGCATCTTTCTCTTCTTATGTCTGATTTTAGACAGAGGCCAGGCCAGGCCACTTGTTGATCCAGCCCACGATCCTCAAACATTTGTGAAATGTCTTTAAATGAAAGAGGAGTATGCTGGATAACATGGTAAATCCTGTCTGTAATCCCTGGCCTTACAAGGAGACAAAGAAGCCTGGCGTTCCCTAATATAGTTGTAATAAAGATGGGAAGAAGGCTCTGGAAGCGCACGTTAAATAATTGTCCAAAGGGGCTTATGCAAAAAAGGCTTTGTCCCAAAATACTGGCAAGGCAGTCACCCTGAAACAATGGGGCAAATTAATATGCAGGCATCCCAAGGCTCTTGGTTGGTTGCATGTGTGTTGTTCTTGTGTTGTGTGCATGCATACACACACACACATACACACACACACAGGCACGCACGCACGCACGCACACACACACACACACACACACACAGAGAGGCTTAGAGTGATGAATTCCTTCTGCTTACTGGGAGGTTAACACTAAGACTCTTTCTTAGGGATGCACCATGTCAGATTTCAAACATGTTCCTGCAAATGGGCTCCCCCTGTTCAGAGGAGTGGGGGTGCTTTCTGATCCAGATAATGAGTTCATTCACATGAAAAGATACCGCTTTCAATGACATGATTAATTTCGGAAATACCTGGCATGTGAATGAAGCTGAGACTTCAAGAGATGACTTACGATGAGAAAAGATAATTAGACAAATGTCAAGAGTCAGTATTTTGCTTGGTGACAGAGAGGCCAGCCTGTCTTGGTTTCCATACATTCATTCCAAGTGGAAATGAAAGGCCTTTGTGAGGCGCTAGGGATGAGCAATCCATGGTCACATCTGAGCTTCTCCTGCTCCTGCTTCTCTAGTTTTTGCTCCAACACAGCAGTGGCAATCAGTGCCCAGCTCCCACAAGTTCTCAGAGTCCCAGGCAAAGCAGTCCGTGTTTGTCGTGATGGCTGGAAAATGAAAGTTTATCTTGCCTTACCAGTCATCTGTTCAAAGTGACCCCTGATTTAAGCCCTTTCAAAAATCCTGCTGATTGCTTCTTCCCTCCAACAAGAAGAAACGCAAAAGGAAAGCCAGGCAGGTGCACCTCAGTGTTCTGCAGGAAGGTCTCGAAGGCAGCCAACTTAGCTGTAGGCGGTAGAGCTACTCTAAGCCCATTCCAGCCTTCACTTTTCTCCAACCATGTGATCACTTTTTTAATCATTATTTTATGATACTGAGGGAGTGGCGTGTGAATAACATAGTGCTCCTGTAGAGTTCAGAGGACAGCTTTAGAGTTAGACCTCCCCTTCCACCATGTGTATCCCAGGGATTGAACTCAGGTCACCAAGCTTGAGGGCCAATGCTTAAACCCCCTGAGCCATCGCACTGGTCCTCTTTATTCTATTCTATTCTATTCTTTAATGTTATTCTTGGCCCTGGTGAATTGGAGGATGCCCACGACTACAGATTACTGTGTTGCCTGGTGGAGATGACAAGAGCGGGGTACTCCTAGAGGGTCAAGAAAGTATTTGTGCAGTAAGCTTGCCCTTCTAGAAATAAGGAGTGTTTAGCAGCGTGTGGCTGGAAGCTGCCTTTTTTGCCCCCTGATAGTCCATTTTAACATTTTCCGAATGACTTTAAAATACAACAGCAACAGCGAAGGATTTAACATGCCTTCACATCTGCGTGTTTGTGGGTGCTAGAGGGTAGGAGGATTTCTGAGCAATCCCACTGTCTCCATTGTACTCACTTCCTTCCAACTTTCTTTTGTCCAGAGTGGGAAGGTGGCTATTCTGTGAATCCATCTTCAGGCACTGGAACTCTGCAAAGAAAAGAAAACAGGACTAGGGAAAGACAGTCACTAGCATTGCATGTCAAGCAGGTGTCTTTTGGATACCAGTAAATTGGCAGCTGTGGCTTGAGCTGTGTCTGCTCCAAAAAGGTATGTTGACACCCTACCTATGTCTGAATGTGGGATTATTTGGAGTGAGGTTCATCATATATGTGTTTAGTCAGAATGAGACCATGCTGGACTAAGGTCGGCCTGAATTCACCATCCCATGATGAGGATATTGTGTGAAGACACACAGATAAGGGGTCTTATGTGACTGGAGATCAGAGACTAGAGCCACACAGCTGCAACACGAGGTTGATAGAGGTCAAAGTCAGGAGTGGCGGGTCCTCCAGTTTGTGTGAGAGGGAGAACAGAGTCCTATGGTCATTTAGCTTTTTGTCCTAGGGATCCCAGAGCTTAGATATAATCAATTCTTTGTTGTTGTTGTTGTTGTTGCTTTGTTTTTTGAGATGGGGCTTCTCTGTGTAGCTATACTTGTCCTGGAACTAACTCTTGTAGACCACACTAGCCTCGAACTCACAGAGATCTGCCTGCCTCTGCCTCCCCAGTACTGTGCCACCACCGTCCAGGTAATAATCATTCTTAAGCTGCCCAGTTTGTACTTTGTAGTAATGACCTTATGAAGCTAGTAGAATGGTCATGTAATGTAACATTGCAGCCTATAAACTAGAGATTATGCCTTTTCCTCTATGCCAAACTCTTCGCAGTCTTAGTCCAATTCCATTGCAACATGTTTACTAAGAACTGCTGTCACCCATCACCCATGTTGACATGGACTCTTATAACTCCTGCATGTAGAAACTACCTTTAAATGGCCTGCTGGGTGTGAACACGCTCCCAACACAACTATTCATCAAGGGTCAGGGCACTGTGACATGGAGCTGCTCTTTGTGCTTCATGGGACACTGTACAGCATGCCCAGTGCACTGTGCCAGCCCTGCTTGTAACATAAAACATCTAAAGAAAGAACTGAGAGAGACAACTAACCCAGGCTCAACCCACTTTATCCCTCTGGAGAAAAAGAAATACATTCACAGCAAATCATGAGGTTTTTTTTTTTTTTGATTGTATAGAGCAGGAAAGAATTGACGTTATCCATGTGTGGGAACTTTACAGAAAATGGGACAATTCTATCCTTCCACTATCATCTTAAAAAACTATGAAGTCAGAATGGAAAAGTACAATTAGCACTACGTTAGTAAATAATATAAATGGTAACTACAACTCGACAGGTTACATTTATTCAAATTTTGAATTCTTGCTTTTGAAATTCCACTGCTTATTAGCAGTCAGTGCAGATGACTACTATTAACAATAAAAACAAAACAGATCCATTCTTGCTTATGTTATTGCATGTTATACAAGTTAGAAATGACATTTATCTTCATTTGTATGACGCATGTAAGTAAAGTGCACTCTTTTATTTATTTATTTATTTTGGTTTTGTATCTTCGCTACTGTTCAAACCATTTGTCTTGACAACTAAGTTTGAAATGGAAAGATGCCCTTTGTTTGGGAACTAGAAAATTGCATGTGTTGGAGAGGGTCTCTCAATCCAAATACAGTACGATCACATTCTCATATTTGCTTTTAATTATTTGTAAATCCTGAGATACTTAACATTTTATGGTTAAATATTACCTGAGTACAAAAGCTTTCCTCTGTTTATGCATAATTCCATCCAGAAATTAATATCTCCTACTTATGAGCCATCAAAAATTAGAAACATTTTCCTTCCTTAATGTAGGAATTAGCATAATTTTAAAGCACTCAAGGATATAATTATTTACAGGTAGTAAATAGTAACTAGAAGTTTTTCATCAAGGTATGTAGAAAGTTGGAAAAAAGAAAAACACTTCTTAAAGTTATAAATAGCTATCTTTACAAATTACTTAAAAGAAGTAATTAGGTTCTGTGGACATACAGGTTAGAGAAGAATGTGTTCCTGTATTCTTTGGAAATTAAAAACTCTCTGTAATTCACAGCAGTATACAGTGCTTGAAAATCACTTACTGTATTTTTTAAGTTAATATGCACAGATGCCTGTTCTGTTGGAATATACAGAAATAAGTGAAGTCTTAATAAAAGTGTTGCAGTTGGGCTAAAACTGAACACAATACATATAGGCCAACAAGATGTGTATAAAGCTGTGACACAGCTTTATAACGAGTGAGTGGAGCAGCGTGGAAGCATCTACTCACTGTGGTGGCTTCCGCACATGGGTTAAATGAGGTTCATCGTACTTCTTTTGTTTAGAAAGATATGGTTTATATTTCTTCTGTGGTTATGTTCCTGGAAGTTCTTGTGATTAGCCATATCGTACATTTTCTAATGAGTTCTTTCACAAATAAATGGTAGGACCCAAAGGGTGCATACATACATACATACATACATACATACATACATACATACACACACACACACACACACACACACACACACACACACTCCTTTCTGTTCTAAAGCTGCTAATTAGTGCCTTTAAACAACTCAACACTGAGCCAGTAGGAAGCACCATATCAGGGGTCACTATGAAACTGTTTGTGTGGAAGGGCATATTAAGTAAGAAGGTATCAAACCCAGTGCAGACTGAGTGCCAGGGCCCCACCAATGTTAACTTTATGTTTGTTTGTGCTCATTTGAAGTTCAGATGCCTGCATTCCAGTGGTGTTGTGGAACATGCTGTACTTACAGATGGATTAAGACATGTTGCTTTCCAAGTTATATTTGTCTGAAGAAGTCAATGGGTAGTTTCACGAGAGGATAGCAAACACTGGCTTTTATTTTTAAGAGAGGGACACATGTAGACTTAAAAGGCACACATGTATGTATAGACATGCATGCACTTTTATATACAGTGATTCTAAAAGACATGCAAAAAGTTTTAATACTTTCTAAATTTGTTTAGAAAGCCACTTATTGTATTTTGACATGCTCATCTAACAGCAATAAACTATTAACAGGATTTTTTTCAGGACAGTTTGACTATTGAGATCAAATATATGGGAAACATTTTTTTAAATCTGGTTCTGTTTCCTTGAAAGTGAGGTGCTGGCTAAGAGGCTGTATGTATAGGTTTTCATGGGTTTAAATGGGCTTGTGGCTGGCATGTGATTGAAGATGACTGAAAGTTAAGGACCAATTAGAGGAGGGCCTACCAAAGCAAGACAAGGTCTCAGTTAGGATGGAAGTTTGACTCCCCATGCCCCATCTTGACGTCACGGCACAAGCAGGAGAGGTGAAGCAAAGAGGACACAGACAGTTTGTACTCCAAGGCTGTCTCTCTGGCACTGCTTTTGACCACTGGCTGTAGTTGTAGCCCGGAGCCCTCCAAACTGTCAGTACTTTAATACAACAACAAAATTTCAAATTTGAAAGAGCAAATATATCCTAAAAAGGTATTCAAGATTGTCTTTGAAAGATTTAGAACATCGTCAAAACAACCAGAACTCTAATGGAACGGAGACGCATAGCCTGTTTGCAAGTTGAGGACACCATAATGGAAGCGATGCTAGGTTCACTCAGACTGACCTGTAGATTCACTTAAGTCAGAACCAGTGGCATGACTTTTCTTCCTTCACAGAAGATAGGAAAACTCATGAGAGAAACAATCACACCCGTCTAACTTGGTGATCCAAGGAGTTTATTGGGGTGACCTACAGAAGCATGCCTGAGAGGTTACTCATAGTTCACACACAAAAGTCCCCCTGCATGGGAGGCAGTTTATGAAAGCTGCATCACTGCAGCAGCCTGTATCACTGAAGTTCTCTGTACCACTTATGGGCAGCTCTGTGGAAGAGTGTCCTCTCCCCCAGCAATAGGTGACTGCTTACACAACCTTAGGTAAGGCCTCTTGAGTCTTGTAAATTCCTAAGATTCTTGTTTTTGTGAATTCTGTGAGTTTCATAACATTCATTAGCTTCCTAAACCTCATGGACCTCCTTCCTCTCTCCTGAAGTCAGTGCTTCCATTTGCAGGAAATATCCACACAGTGAAATCTTGTAGACAATGTGAAAATCTACAGTGTATTGCTAAAACTTCTTACTAAGCATATGATTAAAACTGGTCAAAATACATTTGTTGGAAAGCCTAATATAGAATGGAAAAACCAAGAAACTGTGGTATTGATTCAATTATTTAGAAATAAATGAAATAAAGAAACATTCTAGCAGAGTAAAGAGCCCTAAAAGAGGACCACATAAACAGCTATTTCTGTTGTCTCCAACATGTCAATTCAAAAAATTCAAAGTGAAATGGACAATGAATACACATTTTCATCACCTAAACTGTAGCCTAATGCTTTTTATGGTGCTTCCTTAGCAGAGATTTGCCTATTCACCTACTATATTTTGCTGTCCTTCAAAGTACATTGCAGTCAACAAGTTTCTGCTCACTGTTTCATGAATACTATTAAATTGAGCTCAATTCTTTTTATAGTTAAGGTGATAGTTGCATAAATTTAAATGTATACTCTATGTAAAATATCCTACCAATTATTATGATACATTATAGTTTCATGGTATGAGAAAGGTTCATCGTATTCATTACCAGTGTTTCTGCTTCATCATGCCTATTCACAGTGTGATTTTCTCAGACAATAACAATTCCAATTCTTGTGCTATAGAATATTTTCTACATGTTTTAAGATTTCAAGCCGGGCGGTGGTGGTGCACGCCTTTAATCCCAGCACTCAGGAGGCAGAGGCAGGCGGATCTCTGTGAGTTTGAGGCCGGGCTGGACCGATAGCCTCCAAAACAATACGAAGAAACCCTGTCTCGTAAAAACCAAAAGAAAAAAAAAAGATTTCATATAAACAAAGTCATTAGTATATACTATTCTAGTGTGTAGCATATCTCACTCAATGTAGGTTTAAGTGTTTCCATATTAGTGTGTGTATTGAAGATATATACATGTACATATATGTATGCATGTATGTATATATGTGTATATCCTGAGCATAGACCTGCCTACCTATTTCCCTCTCAAGACTTGTTAAAGGTTCGAGATGTCATGAGACGTTATTTCCAGGAAGATGTGTTGATTCTCCTCACTTTCTTTTTCAGGACTATCCTGTTTTATTTTGTTTT